TCATTCCCTACCATTCAGAGCAATGCCTCATAACACAGAGCACAGCGAAAGAAACCAGCAAAGCAGCCTCCAGGCAAGGGCATCACACAGCACTTGGAAGGATCTGGAGGGGAACAGGATGGCACGTCTTCTGTTCGTTTGTTTCCTCCTCCTTATCTAACAAGGGGGGGCAGTTCTTTTAAAACTTGACTGGAGAAGCTTCATCTTCTAGCATTTCTTTTATTATTTTTTCAGCAAAGAATACATGTGCAAAAGATTGTTAAAATAAGATGGACCCCCAAATCGCCTCCTTCCTACAGCCATGCATATTGTCACTGGCCCAGAAGCCAGTGAAGAAGCCAGGCTTCTTGCACGCTCCATGTTCGCTACTACCTGACTAAGTAGGAGCAAACTGTTGAGACTTTGTAAATCTTTCTAAAAGCAGACTGATAGCAGTTTCCTTCTGTGTTTCTTTACAGAGCTACAGTGGAGGGCAATGTGTACCTAATGCTCAGACCAGGCTTAGGGGCTGAGACCTGGGGGCTAAGTCCGGTGTTCTGCTGTCGCTTATAATTATGTGTAGTTCATTAATCTTGTAGATTCATTTTCCTGCCCAAATAAACGCACTGATTTTTATCTTGCACCAATATATGTTTTTATGAGCCACCTCAAATCCTTTTTTGGAGCAAGAAGACGTATAAGCAAGTTAGTGTTGTACTTGATAGTTCACAGGACACTTAGCATCTCAATTGAGCCTGACAACAGTCTTGTGAGGGCAGGATTATTCCCCTGTGCTGGAGGAGGACCGTGAGGTGTCTTAGCTGAGGTCACACTGAGAGTCAGCGACAGAGGGAGGTATCAAACTTGCTGGCTGTCTCTGCGAAGGGACTGGGGTAGAACCTATATGTTCTAAGGTGTTTACAGGTTTTATTTCAATTGATTATGTTGTAAAAAGGAAAGAAAAAAATTACTGAGAAGTATTTGGAAATATTAACACCTATTTCTGTGATTGTGAGTAATATGAAGTGTGACTTTTCAGGAAATGTCAGAAATGGTAAAAGGGTTAAAACAAACCTATTCATCTGTTAAGGGTTAAAACGTGCTACATCGATTGTTCTCAGGAAACAAACAGCGCCTGGTGGTTTGGTCTTGGCAAAATACGAGAAATATAAATTGATTAAACTTATTTTAATGGGCATTTACCTGCAATTTGTCTCAAATCCAGGCATAATCTAGATTCATTGTCTTGCCCCTTCTGTCTGGGAGCTGTGAGTGCTGAGCACAGGTCTGGCGGGCTGGGAGGAAAGGAATTCGGAGGGAACTGTGGAGCCAGGAAATCCAATCCTGTGTGTCTGTAGGATCCATTTATTGGGTTGTCAGAAAAGTCATGACGTATTTTTTCTATGGTTTTCATCGCAATAATGCGTCATGACTTTTCCGACAACCCAATAGTTGCGGACTCCAGGGAGCAAAAAATAGACAGGGTCTTAGCCCAACAAAAATGTATGCAGAGGAGGTAGAATCTCAAAATGGAGCCTGGGCGTGGCCCCCCTGGGGCCACAGACTGGGGCACCTGGGGGGCTGCTGCTTCACTATGACCCAGGGCTCCCTGTGGACCTATTGGCAGGAGCTCCCCTCATCTGCCCGATGTTTTCCCACCTTGTATCACTCGAGAAAAGGGACCCATTCATCCAAAGGGATCACTACACACCACCTAGGCCTCTGCGGGAAATTGGGAGTTGTCACACCTTCCCCAAATCCCTTTGCCTCCATAAAAACCATCGTTTTAGACAAGGCATGAAGAGAAAAACACAGGCAGCCAGTCAGCCAGCTATGTGTCTCCTGCATCTACAACCCAGGCCCTTCCTCCCAGAATCTGGGGAAAGAAAGTCAGGTGGAAAAATTTCAGCTCAAGACATAAGATGTGTTGGGGGCCCTTGCCTCAGGTAAAAAAAGAAAAAGATGAACATTTTGATTTGGTTTTCAAGGTTGAAAAACTATGATTTGTTTTATATATAGTGTGAGTTTGATTTAAACCATCACACAGTGAAACTCCAAGGTCTAGAAGTTCGTACACCCTCGCAGCCTTGCAGCTTTCCGTCCAAAAGGAGGTCACCACGCAATGCCGAGTGTCCTACAGCATATTTGTTCACAAGACAGATCTAGGGTACAGCCGCATCTGAGCATGTACATGTCAAGTGAGGAAGTGCCTTGGAAGCCTCAGAGGAAAAGTCCCTGACACGCCTGGCACGCCTGGACCCCGGTCCCCCCTTCTTCCTTGCTGCTTCACATCGCACTGACATGGTACACGGGGGAGGCTCAGAACGGAAGCAAACAAAACCCACTGCTTGAGAATGTAGACTGCAGAGTAAGCTCGTTCAAGTCATCGTCAACAAAAGCCAGAGAAACCACACGTAGATTCGCATACTTCCGAGAGCCACCCTTCAGCTGTTTCAGAGGACATGAGTATGCAACTAGCCTTTGCAATGTCGCCTTCGGTCGGAAGCATTTAACCACGTCACCCCAAATTTTCATGCTCAGAAGTTACACACGAACGGATATTTGACTTTTCTTGAAAGCCATTCAGCCTGAAAGGTTGCCAAGCATGTCACACGTCACATTTAGCTACCTTGGCGAGGAAGGGCTTTCAGCCAACTGGCTGACACTCATCGCCTAGAGAAGCAGAGGAAGAGAAATTTTTAGCAAATAGGCAAGCTCCTGAAATAAATTGTATGATGCTGGTTCTGAATGAACTGCACTGGTTTCCTCACTTAGGTTGTCAGAGCAGTATAACCTTCCACTAGATGCGTCTTAAATATACATCAGTTCTGCTATTAAGCAGATCACCATTCCTACAGGTCAGAATCCAATTCATTATTTAACACCTAGCCCATCTCCATGAAGCTTTTTCCTGCTCCCCTCCCCCACCATGGTTTCTGCTTTGTCTCTGCCTTTCCTGTCGCCATAACTTGGACTGCTCACTATGTGGCTTACCTGTGTGCTTGTCTTATTCATGTTACTGGATTGTAAGGAGAGGCGGGGTGTGGAAGGCGTTCTGTCCACATATGCTTTCAGAATGCCTCGCTTCCAGTAGATTCTAGTCATCCGGTTGATTTCCTAAGCAACCTAATAACCATCTGACATCATCCCTGTGAGGCCCCATCCAAAAGTTTAAACACACACGGTTTTTAATGGTGAATTTTCTTTAAGTTTTTCAGTTAACCTTCAGATCATGCATACATCCTGGTCAGTTTTCCTTTGCTCATGAGCAGTAACTCATGATCTTAAAGATCTTTAAAAAACTTTGAATGAAGACTCAGACATAATTAAATGTCTCTTTCCCTCATGCTTCCTCACAGGAACACTGACAGAGTTCACACTGCAAAGACGGTCATAACCTCAGACTTTAGAGCCATGCGCGGCTCTTATTAGACTCCTGAGCCTTTCACGCTTTCACTTCTGCCTGAAATCCTTTGTGGAACATTCTAGGGTATCAAGAAATGAAAGAATTGTTTAAACAAAGAAAGAAATATGTCTTTATTAGAGCTTTTTATCATTCAAGAAATAGACATTTACTTAATATGTGACAGGCTGAGTGCTAAGGATACAAATGAGTAATACGGTATGACTATTACTATCTGGATATTACAGATTTTTCTGACCCTTCTGACATCTTTGTTGATCATATATCTGTGGCACACTGTCTTTCATCCTAAATATATGTGCATGAAAAAATAAGTACATACAGGCAAACTGAAGTCAAGGAAGTGTATTTTCATAAATTATTTTTAATGTTTTAAATATTTTGATCCTCTGTACACAGCTTGTGTTCACATGACAATAAACAAGCCTCTTCTCAGGAAAGAAACTAGCCAGACCGTATGCTTGTGGATCACAATATTTTGACAAAAAATGTAAAAAATGGTCCTACCTATTCTCATCTTAATTTTTTTCATATTAAGGGGACTTTTCCAAATGAAGGGTTTCCGATAGGTTGTCTCCAGGTCAGTTCACCCCTACAAGGCTCAGTCAGTCTTCACTGGACGGCCCTATCCTGCTTTACTTACCTTTTACCCTCCACACCCACTGCGTGCCTCACACCACAGATATGCTCCTTGGAGTTTGGATTTTTATGAAGCAAATCATGGAAGCTGGGAGCACTGATACTTAAAGGAATTTGAGAGGGATAGAAAACCTAAAAAGTTATTTTGAAATATGAATATTTCTCCCTAGTTACACTAACTGTTCTGTAATGATGGTCAGTTACTGCTTGCATCAACCTGTATCTGCTTAAATCAACCTGTATCTGCAGAAAAACAATTAGGGTGGGGAGATGTTCAAAGCTACACTATACTTTTGAAAACATGACCCAACATCACGCATAGAAGCAAACCTACCAAGGCCTGTAACAGATGTTATAGCTGACTTATCTGAGCATCTGAGAAATATTGACCCTTTTATTGGTAATAATTTGTTTTCATTATGTCAGTATTTCTATGAAAATTATAAGTTTCTAGAGAAAGTATAACCTTAAAATAGAATCATCTTCAGGTCAACTCAGTAGACAAAGGGAAACAGGCATTTATGGGAACCCATCACTGCTGAAAAGCTATGATTGATTGAAAAAAAAGTAGCATGTTGGAACCCTGGCAAAATTAAAACAAAGTCAAAAACCAACCCTGCCATTATTATGTGATTTTTTTTCAACCATGCTTTTATTTATGCATATACATGTTTTTATTTCTCCCTAAAGAAGACAAATCATACACGTTTAGGTTTGGGCTCTGGAAATGTTCCACTAAGATTCCTGGTCTAGTGTATGTAATGGCTGTAATTTGTGAAATCTAGCGCCAGTGGGATGTGATTACATTGGGCTTCAGACTGAAGAATTGTTGTAGTAGGAATTTTATATGCAAGACTAAATGCTGATCAACAGAGCATAATATTGTATCCTGAAGTGTGCTCACGAAAGCAAAATTAATTTTTTTTTCCTTTCCTTCTCCCGAAATCTTCCGCCGTAGCGATTGCATTTGCCTCCAGACTTGTCAGACACAGTGAGCCGCTCAAGCAAACAGGATGTGGCAGAATCCGCCAAGCTGCTGGGCCCAGGCTGCGGCGTGATGGCCGGAGGCAAGAAGCACCTGGACTTCTAGCACTCCCTTCTTAGTCGCTGCTTGCAGAATGCTATGACACTCTCATTATGATCGCTAATAGCTTATGTAAATATTTTTCTTAACAATTTGACCCTTCCAGTTCTTGAAAAACACAGGATTGCAAAACAAGGCCATCATTCTTCTTTTTTTAACCAACTTTTTATACAGAAATAGTACAGCAGGAATACTTTCACGGTAAAATTTTGTTTTATGCTCTATCTACAGAAGATAGGTAATTTTAACTTTTAAATAAACGCAACTAAAATGTCAAAAAATGCAAGATGCCTTACAGTGGTCATTGGTGTGCGTGTCTTAAGTCACTTAGTTCACGGTAAAGTGCATGTCACAGCAGGTAGCATATAAAGCATTATGAAATTCAAAATCATATACGAAAAGCTTATTTTCTCTTTATTTCTGAAAGAGTCACTTGCCACCAAAAGTGGTAAGGTTTTTAAAACAATGAGAAATGTGTTTGCTAATATATGAAGGCTCTAATAAAATGAATTTGCATCTATGCATCCTGTTATTAAATTGATGAAGACAAAAGAATATTTTGGGATTAAGTCTCTATTAAAGATAATTAGTCTGCTATAGAAGTTATTAAATATAAAACACTTGCGTGATAGAAAGTATAGAAAAAGAACTTTATGGTCTTCTATTTAGTCATCCTAAACAATTAAAGTCAGCACCATGAAATTATGTCAACACATAATTCAGGATTGAAATTCAAACTGACAGCTACATTAGTGCTAGGATACTGGGGAAGGAAACATGTACTGAAGCCTGGTGAGAGATCTTTACAGAATACAGGTCTGAGACAAAGTGGAAAGCTGAAGCTCACTCCGATTTCCATTGCATTAGGTAAATCCTTTTGTTAATTATGAACTTCGGTTGGGTATGTACATTTATAACCACATAAACATGTCTTTGGGGGTATATAGCATCCTGAACCAGTTTTCATATAAAACACTAGGTTTCTGAATCATAGTTCCATATTCTCAAAGCTTTAGACAAATAGTAGACAAAAAAACAAAATTTCAAAAGTAACTTACATATTTAAGAGCTTCAATTTTTTAAAAGCTGTTTAACATCCTTTAGGAGAACCTGAATTTCCAAAATACATTTTCAGATACGTTAGAATATTTTGAAGCAGTTGTAACAAGCATTTTAAGCAGTTTGCTTTTAATATACCACAAATTATACTTTTATTTGTTCTTGACAACATTGTAGAAAACAAAGACTAGGTTTTTAAACTGTCTAACCAATATGATGAATGTCAGTCACTTAAAAAAACCCACTGTAGCATAAACACATACTGTATACAGCTTTTATTCAGAATTAGAATAATTGAATCAATGACAGTGATTTGCCAGGATGTCAAATCTCTCCATCATATCCTGTCACTACCAGTTTATTTTTTGTGATCAAAATCAAAAAGACAACTATTTTGTCACCCGCTATTTCATTAGTACTAAAAATCAGGTTTTTTTCTTCTATTTTTTTAGAATGTCTGGTTTATTTTTTTCACTTCTTTTAATTCGAAAGACAAATTCTTCCCCATTTTCTTTTCAAAATAAAGTTTCAGAATTGATCTGTCAGTTAAAATTAAAGGGCTTTTATATTAAGTGAAGGTGCTTTTAAAATTTAAAGCAACTTCAAAAAATCAATTTAGTTCATAGATAATAAATAATGTGCAGATACTCCACAAAAGCTTTGCTGTATCCTTTGAAAGCATTATGAACAATCTGAACAAATTCAAATGAATATTTTAGTCAGGTTATTATTTTAATAATGCTAACCTTTTTCTTACCATGTTGTGACTCATTTGATACAAACACACCACGGTACAATTACATAGCATTTGACTCTGAAGAGGAAATGTGAGGTCATCAGATATGTAAATTGCTTCTCAAAAATACTTAATAGGTCATTGATTTACTATCCTGGCTATGAAATTAACAGCCAATTACTCTCTAATACTATACACTTTGCAAACAGATAAATATTATAAAAACTGAATGTGTGTATTTGAACCCAACTTATTTTAAATATAAAAGAAACTTTTCAAACTCAACAAAAGTGCATTTGGAACAATAATAGGACCTGGGCTTTCCAAAAAATCAGGTGCAAGTGTTTTGTTGTTCTGATTCACTAGGCAGGCCTTGTAAAACTAAGCTACTGAAGAGGGATGGATATTTTTGTTTTCCTGTGATAAAAACCCACTCTAAAAATGTGTTTTCCTTCCTTCTGGGAACATTATCCATTAGCCATATGCTAATAACTTGCTACATAAAAATATTTGTCTCCAATAATGCTACTGTAGGTCTACAGACCATTTGGATACATTATGAAATATACATTCTATAAACACATTTTTTTTTCAGTTATCAACTTGTCTCAAAGATATAAATACCCAAGTAACAATGCTAAACATACTATTTGAAATGTCCTCATATCTTTTAAATGTTTCTAAAACTTGAAAACACTCTATGGTATTCATTTATTATGCTAGATTTGCCTTTCTTTAACAGGAGGTAAATATTTTGACTGCTGCAGTCCACTCAGGTGCGAGAGTTCTAAAACCTTCAGAATTTCTTTTAAATAGCCACCAATGTCCATTTCTCTCTTCTTCGCTTCCATTTATTCTTAAATACTAACACTAGACCAAATAAAACTACTTCAGATGGAAGCAACACTTGGCAATCAATTCCTTGTCCATCTTTTAATTTTAAAGAATCAGACACGGGCATCCAAATGCAAAAGGGAAATGGGGGGTGGACCTATTCATTTGTGAACGTCATTTTTAAAACATGGTAATGCCTTCCAACGATAGTCCCATAAACACCACCGAAATTAAGCAGTACTAACCCCAAGTACTTACACTTTGACTTTAAAACTAAGCAGTCATTCAGGACTGGTGCAAAACAAAAAAACAATGAGGTTTATTCTTGAGAAACAAAAAGGGGAAGAATTTGTGTTTGGTTTTGGTGAGCCAAACACACAAAAAATAAAAATCTTTTTTTTTTATCTTGTTAAAATTGAGGCCCAGCACCAAAAGAGTAAGCAAAATACAGACATGACCCTACGATGACAAAAATTCACAAAACAAAGCTGAATTTTAAAATAATACTGTATAAAATATGAGTCTTAGTTAACGTAGCTATGATTAAAAAAAAACGTAGGAAGAGATAATTATGTGAGTCATATCAAGAAAAGCCAGTAGGTTATCACTTAAGACAGGATGCACAGCTGTGGAGGGGAAATATTCTGGAAATTCATTGTAGTAAAAAGCATTTTTTCACTCAGTAATTTGAATGTTTCTTCCTCAAACATTCACCTCTAATTCTGTTCACCTGGTGTCCCTACGTCAGGCAAGTTTGGAGAAAAACCATAGGCTGTCAGGTCTTGTGATTCTACTGAGGACATCACAAATAGATGGTCACCCCCTTGGAAGATGGTGTCGAAGCATCCCTGCAGAGTTCCCATTGATAAATACATAAATATGCCTATCAGGAAATAAATAAACAAACATAAATTATTGCAACAACGAGTCAAAGGCCAGCTCCTGGGCACTGCTTCCACTCAGTGCCTGCCATGCTGTCCCTGGGAGAGTGCTTGGAGCTCTGATCAGAAGGACAGCTCATCTCCCCAGGGTGAGGGCAGAAGGCGAGGCAGCCGTTCCATCCTGCAGGACCAGGGGGCTTCTGCAGCTGAGCAGTCGCCCGAGCAGTCGCTTCTTCAGACCAAAGGCTGTACCAATGTGTCCTGGAGATCCTGACCCTCGGAGGACATGGATACGTGCCCACATGCCTACATACAGACCCTCCACTTCCACAACACTCCCCTTCTCCCATTCCCAGCTCCTGCACCCAAAGTGCCACACCCGGTTCTCCAAAGTCTATGCCCTCTAAACAACAGAGCTGTGGGCCAGAACTGCTTGCCTGACCCTGGCCCGAATCATAGCCAAGTTGGAAACTGCCCCTCCTTGCAGAGAAGTCAGCCAGCAAGCACACGCCTCACCTAGCCCTTCTCTGACAGCTAGCTCCCTAGGCACATGTCCCTCAGGGAATGTAGGCTGCAAAATGTCGGGAGGTAGAAAAATCTGCATGGGCAACTGTACCAACAGTGCATGTGCGTGCACACCCCACTGCAAAAGTGTGCAAGCATGCAGTGCAGGCTGACATTGAATCAAAGTACATGCACACATATACAAACTGCAGTTATCCTGGGAAGGTGTCTCTAAATGAGCAGCAACTCTAGTGGAATAAAAGTGTTAACACATAGCATGCCAGAGACATGAATCACAATTATCTGTTCACAAGTAATTCCTTAACTAGAAGATAGTAGATGTTAAGCTAGAAGGCTATTTTTTAAAGCCTCCAATTCATTTCTATATTTCTGACCATTTGCCTTTAGGGATTAAAAACAAAACAAATAAACAAACAAAAGAGCAGAGTACAATTCAGTGGAAGTGTCTTTGTCCCCAGAGATTTCTTCCTGCGCAAGCACTTAATCTAGACTGCCAAAACCCCCAGCCTCTGATTGAAGTTTGCAAAGGAAAACTTATCTATATTGACTTATATGTTACACAGAACAGAGAGCAATGAAAGTCTCAGACAGGCCTCTTTCACCCAACAAAGGGCTTATTTTTTTTTTCCATCCTTTGCTTGGGCTCAAGCACTCCTGCCCTGCGTGCTGCCACTTTAAACATGATCAGATCTGTGCTTCATTGCAAATAACAACTGACCAACAATGGGCCCTGCTTCATAGATTTGGGAATGTTTGGCTTAAGCTGCCAATGACTGAAGGCCTTTAACTCCAACCGGCCAGTCACAGTCCGCTTTGTTGTTGTCTGTTGATGTGTCTGTGCCCATTATTCCTTGACATGCAACATCCCCCCTCCACCCTCCAACCATCCACCACCGCACAGAAAGTGAGATTCAAATGGGAACAGCTGTAGTGGTTCAATGGGAAATGATGCCTCTTGTGCAAAGGGGAGGGAGACAGAACAGGGAGAGGGCCTTTTTGAGAAAGGCAACAGCTTTTAGAGAGTCTTGTATAAGAAATCTACGTTTGAATATACTTCAGTGAAATCGCTGTTGAAATAGGCTGACAATGGAAATCTGCCCAGATTGAAAATGCCAGCCCTAATTCAAAAGACAATTCCTAGTTAATAGCTTGTTGCATTTTTAAATGATTTCTAGACTTTGAGCTTTTGTATTAAATGGCTAACTGAGAAATGTTACCATTTTGTATGTATAAATGGGCACAGATACACAGCTTTAAGTGGATTTTTTTTCTAACACATTTCTGAGTGATGAACCCTGTAAGAATTATTTCTTTAAGGATCATCAGGATTTAAAATAGAGCGTGTAAGAAAGTAATCATTGGTCTCGAATGTTACTCTGACATGGAAACAAAATTTGTAACACCACACTATAAGGTTAAAAAGAAAATAGTATAATAAAGGAAATACAAAGGCTTTGGCATGGTTTTTACAATCAACAATGGTTAATTTTGATATGTAGTTGTGAACAACTTCAAAACACTTAAGTTTAAAACTCTTGCAAGCACTTTTAATTGATTAGGAATGAATTCTAGATGCACAAAATGATTGGACTGTGAACAGTAATACAACTATTTCTAAGAACAATTAACTTTTGCTGGCCAAAAATGAAACGTATGATTGCATGAAAATGTGTATAAAACATCTATAGAGTATTCTTGTCAAATATAAATGAAATTAACTTTATTATAGAAATCATTCTGAGGATTTCTAGGGAAGACAAATACTTACATTTTGACATAAAACAAATTGGATTATATCGAAGACACACTCTACCTTTTAGCTATCAACTTTTTTCTTCCTTGAATTTATAGCTTACCCTTTTTTGCACATAAACTTCATCTGTTAACAACCTTTGGAAAACCAACAGATATTTCTTACATAAATCTAGTGCATGTTGTTCCAGGTTTAATTATATGCAAAGGAATGATACAAACTTGGAACCTCAGTCCATAGACTATGAACAGATGGGTAGAAGTATTCGATATATCTTGATAAAACTCTTAAACTCGTGGCAAAGCTTGATCATGGTTTCCTTTTTTTAAAAAACAACTTCATGACCAACACAGATCAAACATCCATCCAGTTTATGTTGTTCTTTTTTTTTCTTTTCATTATAACATACAAATGCCCATTTACAAATAATACACCAAAATGAATAAAAGTTTGGATACCAAAATGAAGATTTGTTCCAACTGATACCGTGCCTTCTGTATACAAAGGTCCTTGTTTCAAGTCCATTCCCCAGTGGTACAATACAGGACACAATTGCAGAAATGAAGTGCTTCTGACAGCCATTTTCTTTCCTTCATGAACGCCCAACTGTTGTGTCCACATAGTCACTGACTGAATTAACACAATATATTCTTTCTCTCTCTCTCTTTTTTTTATTTTATTTTATTTTTATTTTTTACTGTAATCTTGGCCAATATTGAGACATATCAGGTTCACTTCCAGGAACTTGAACTGGAACTGACACACCAGGGGAAATGAGTCCTAGAAGTGGATGAAAGAAACAGCCATGTTGATATTCCCTTCGAGAGACAGGGAGTAGACATTTATAGGTTAAAAGAAAAGCTCGAATGCTTTCTAACATGTTAACTATATTTTTAAAAGTATATTTTCAAGTGTTACAAACAAAAGCAGCATCTTCAGAAACCAGTTAACATTTTTACACATACCCATTGAATCCCAGGGCCCCACCCTTCACCCCACCCCAAAAAAAAAAAGCAAAGAAAAGAAAAGAAGCCCCCCATTTCTTACTATGCTTGGAACTTTAACAATAAAACTATCTCTGGAAAACCTGTGTGGCACTGCTTTGGTTGCACTGAGAAGCACAGAGGCGCGAGCAGGGTGAGAAGCCTTCCAGTAAGCACTTGCCATGCAGCGCAGGGGGCCCTCCCTGCTGAACTTTGGCTGAGAATCGCTCCTCAGAAAACTTAACCGTCTCAGGCCTTGTCTGCATATACAACTTCTGTGACCAAATTCAGGAAAAACAACTTTGCTTTTTGTCTGTCTGGTATCAAGTTACTAACTAACTAGCGCGACTGAATTTCCCTTTTCAGTCAGTTTTCCCTCAGAAAAGTGAGCAACAAAGAGTTAAACACACCATCACACAAGGCAGGCCAGGAGGTTGTGGGGTTTTTTTCTTTTTTTTAGATAAACTGTGAGTGGAGGGAGATCACCTGGCAAAAGAAGCTCTAAAGGCCACCTCTGTGCAGCCCTGGGAGAGCAGCGGCTCACCTGTGGAAGTTGTGCCCGAGGTGCCCATCGGCTGACTGTTCATGTGTGTCTGCATATGGGGGGGGGTGTAGGTGTCATAGCTCCGCCCGTTCACTGACGGGCTAGTAGGCAGCATGCAGGAGTAGGAGGAGGTCTGGCTGGGGACTGGGGGCTGAGAGGAAAAGGCAAACCAGTGGTTACTGAGAAACACATCACGCAGCCACATCCCCCGGCTCCCTCCTCCCCAGGAACCCTGCCAACAAATCTGATCATTAAAGACGTCCTCCTGTGAAATACTGGAATTCCGTGTGATAACTCTAAGATCAGGCCTCCAACCAGTCCTTCCACAGGCCACTGATGGAGTACAGTGGCCTACACACCAAACTTCTAAAAGCACTACAAATTCAGATCGCGGTCCAGCTAGACGGTTGGCACTATCCATAAGACAGGATTTTTATCCATTTTCATCTTGCACCTCTGCTGGCATCTTTAGAGAAGCTATCGCATGAGGATTTCCATGAAAACACACTCCCTCTCCCACAAATCCAATCTACTTAGAAATCCAGTGAGTCCCTGGAGTCCTATATCTCAAGTTTTGGGGCAGAGAAGAGTGGGAGGAACTCTCTGCAAAGTTTGGTTTCGGGACCTTGGGAGCCTTTTCTGGTTAGAATCATGGGATGAAAGATTCTTTGAAGAGGCAGATCAGTAATGATCTGAAAATAAAGTGGTCAGAGGGATCAGTAAATACCTAGTCCCATCCTGTGAACCTGCTGTGACTTCCTTATAGACCTGAAAACCCAGATTGGATTTTACCCATAAAATTGTGTTGCTACCCTCTAAGGGTTTGGAATGGTGGTATTGAGGAGATGAACCTTCTCCTAACTAAATAAGAAATACACAGAGCTGGGACAAACCCCTCATGGGCTCTCATGGGGCTATGCTGGGGCAGCAAGCTTGGGATGAATTAATAGGAGGCTAATGTCAGGAACAAGGGAGATGACAGCACTACCCTGCTGTGCAAACATTCCAAGGTCCACACATTAGAGAAGGTTCAGAGGAGGAAACCCACTCTTTGCAAAATGGTTGAAAATTTTGGGCAACAGGATGAATTGATGGACAGTCAGACCAGTCCTCACACACACTAGCCAACCACCCCCTTCAAAATTCAGAGTAATTTTCTCTAAACAGTAGAATCATGGATAATTTTTATTATCTTTATGCTTTGTGAATGTATGTACATTTTGAATTATATAAGTTGTGTAATTTTTTAAAATCAGTGAACTAAATCGACCCCATACCAGTCTATATGTTGAAACAACCTTAATAGAATAGCCACATCTATTTAATTGTTTCTAATTGTTTTCTCACATACACATTTTGTTATGTTCACAGAAACCTACAATTTACAAAACTGAACAAGACACTCAGTGGCCTTTCTAAAATCAGAGGATGACTGCGAAAATCAGGAGAAAGAGGCAAGCAGGCCTTTAGGGCCCTGCCAGAATTTCAGCTTGCGTTTGTTTCTAATTCCCCAAATCACTTCCTCTAGGCAATCTGACTTCTGGAAAATTCCAAGGCAGTTGTAGCAAGACCAACTAATGGACTGTTAATCCCTTAATTTACATTAATTGCACCATGGCCACTAATATCCAGATGCAATAAAAATAAACATGGGAATAATTCCTCTGAAATTCCTTATCTAGCTGCTCCTGTGTTAGTCTGAAGACTGTGAAACATTTATTGTGCTATTATTTGGATTAGACACCCAGCAAAAGATACTTGATGGAGAATAAACATTCTGTGTAACCTCAGAACTGTTTCCATCAGGGGTTCACACTGGCCAGTCTCACATCATCCATCATCTGTGATTGTCTCACAAACAGGAGTCCTGGGAAAGTCACTGCAGAAGGTCTACCAGAAGACCAGTTTTGTCCCATCAAGAATCCATCCAGCTCCCAAGTTCTAGTATACCCCACCTGCATTATACCACGTCCATCATAAAGTGTTAACCTGGTACAAGGCCTAGCACACGTAGGGGCTGATAAATATTTGGGACCGAATTGAGAGAAGGGGCAGGTTGTTATACCAAGTAAATAGCATCAACCCAGGTAATTCGGAGTGCCACAAACTTATCACAAAATTCACAGCCAAGACACTAAATTTCTAGCAAATACCTTCTATTTCTTTTTTTTATTATAAAGATGTAGAAAGAAAACTAGCTTTTTCTCTATATTAAGTGTATCCCATTTCTGATTCATTGTATCTTCCTCACTCGTTTATCATACATACCCTAAATAATGTCTAAAAGGCACACACGGATTACTTATCTATTAATGTGAACACATTAACATATACTCAAATTTTATGTATAACCCCTTACTATCTTATAGCATGCCAGCATTACTTCCATTTTCTGGTACAAGTTTCACTGATACCCGAAACGTACCCCATTCCCATCCACCATTATCAAGCTAGCATTCTCTATGAGCAAAAGGCAGATTAACTTGACTGAACACCAGGTTTTTTATATTTTTAAGGGCATGAATCAATCAGTCAATCAACAAGAAGGCTGGATTGACTGTTTTCATCTCAGACTTGACTGCTCAAGCCAATTACTGCCTTGAGAAAGGCTCCCAACGGGGCCGGTGAAGTCCACAGGCCCCGACACGCACCTCACTCCTTCTCCCACGCCCCTGCTAAGCAGGCAACCACCGGCCTCACTTACTTGCATAGGCAGGTTATTTGCCATGGTGAAGCTGGGCATGGGCGGCAGAGCGCTGTATGTGTTGGTGAGGGCTGTGTCTGTTCGGCCCAACATGGAGCCAGAGGTGAAGGAGGAAACTGCAGGGAAAGGGACATGACAGACAGTCATGGTGACAGTCAGTGCTGAGGGCAAGCAGGTTTCAACACATTGTTTAGTAGTAGTCACATTTCAAATTACCAGGTGTGGTGGGTTGTGGGATTGGTTGGTAGACACTGGTGCTGAAACTACTGCTGATAGGAATATGACTAGGTGTGTTGCTGGCCTGTCTTCTCTGATTCCTCAATTTTTCTTCTCTTCTCCATTTGGCCCTTCGATTAGAAAACCATACCTGGAAATCAGATGGAACAGGTAAGCTCCATGTGTATTCTCATTCAACCCCATCCCTGGCACCCTCACTGTTCCCCTCCCCTCCCCTGCAATGATGGTAAAGTATTTAGCAGACTGACTCTGTTACTATTTATGTAAATCGATGGCGGTCATGAGAAGCACTTTTGTCTCTAGAAAAGGGAAATGGTCTGAATCACAAAGCACAAAACCACATGGTCCCTGGGTACCTGTATTCTTGCTTCAGGTAGATCTATTTTGGCTGCTAGTCTTTCTCGGGCAAACACATCTGGATAATGGGTTCTCTCGAACTCTGAAAAAGTAAGTTGAGTTTTCTATGTTGTGCCAGAACTATACGTAATGTGTCAGCCAAGCCCTGGATCACGCTGGTTCCCGCCTCCCCAGTCCCAGCACCTCCAACCAATTCCCTTTAAAATGCTATTCCTATTAATGTTGACTGTACTTGAAAGAATGACCCCACCAGAACCAAGTTAAATTTTCTTTGGAATGACATTCATTCAAGGACGCTTCTGTGGCCTAAAGTAGCCAAATCGTCATTTTTTTTCTTTATGAGAAGTCAGACTTTTAGTCTTCGAATTTCTGGTATATGAAAAGAAGAAAGAAAACACACACACACACACACACACACACACACACACACACACACACTGAAAAGATGCCCAGAAAGAAAGGGGGGGCGGGAAATACAGAGAGACAGAAAGAAAAAAAATCTTTTCAGTCCTCTATGCAAAGGACCCAGGCTAAATTTAGCTCTTTGTACTGAAGATGTGGCATTTACTTTGATTTACTGCTTTTCTACTTTGAAAAACTCCATCACCTTTCTCCAGGGCCTCAATTTGCTCTTGGGTAAAGGATGTTCTATTTCTTTGCAGCTTCCGCTTCAGCTGAAGTCGCATTTGTGCCTCATCTGAATCTTCTCCATTGGAACTAATGGAGTTGGTATTTTCTCCCCCTCCTTCCTGTTGCTGGCAGCCATCTGGAACAAAAAGAATAGTACAGTATGAGAAATTTGGGATAACTTGAGGCCTCCAAAAGGGGTCTGGTATAGCCATAAATTCCAAGAGCAGTATATTCAGACACTCTTACCAAAACACTCCCAAGATAACTGTCAGCCCTTTTAATAAAAGGCATTAGTTACATTTTTTTTCTTTCTGTTTTTATCAAGATGAGACTGACCATACAATATAGACACTCAGAGTAGCATGTCTTCAAATAACAAAATAAGTGCTGATGTTTCCAGTTAAAATGATCTTTCATAACTAACCTTGACTTCCCAAATGCCTCACCTAGCTCCCTTTCCCTACAGAATTTATTTACCTATGGCTGTGTTGGGAAAATAGAAGAGTGATGCTCAAGATTTCAGCTGATCTATAATCAGTAATTCCCATCTAATCAATTAGATGTTGATAGGTTTGTAGAAAATGCTATTAAGAAACCAAACCAAGCTTGTAATCTTTGAAAAAAAATATTTATCTAGTTTTTATTTGAATTCTGCACAGTCAATTTCATTTTAAAGGTTGTGAATTTAGAAGTGCTCGCATTGTTCTGCAGTTTTATTCAACTATTGTATGAGTGTGCTTTGCCTTGACACCTATTACGAGCACAGCTGTAATTATATCATCACCAAGAACAGGCTATAATTGCTGAAAATGGAATTTTATATTTAGATAAAAGGACTGTCCATTCTTTGTAATGTGTTGCACCAGAGAAAAGTAAGATTTCTTTTAAATTTTTAACGTGTAATTTTAAAAAAGAAATAGTAGAGAGTTCACTAACTAGCTAAATATGCTATGCTGCAGCTGAATCCTTGGCATAGCATTTAAGTGGTACATTTTTAATTAGGGCATTTCTACCACTTTTAATGTAATTTCTATCATTAAACAGGGGAAAGTTTTATTGTTTGCCCTTGCTGCTTGGAGGGCAAGATGTGCACTTGGGCTAGCTGCCTCTTGTCTTGCGCCTTGCTCATGGGGCCACAGCCTCTCTGAAGGGAAGCACTCAGCCCTGACTGGGCCTGCACGCTGGGTCCTGGGTCTTGGGTCCTGAGGCCCCCGAGGGATACCAATGGGGCAGCCCCGTCGTCCCCCGCCCCCCATCCTCGAAACTTGGCCTGTGGAGGGGAGGGGCCTCTAGGGGGCCTTGGTGGGAATCGACTGGGCCAGGAATATCATTTATAACCAGGAGACAATAGGCAGAGCCTTCAAAGAGTTCAGGGAATTGTGACAGGATCTAGTGGGATCTTTTCAGGAACTTTGAAATGTTTTAAAACCCCAACTTTCTCCCCCATTTAAACAGGCGGATTCATCGGCACTGGCCACCATATGGGCCCTTGGAGATCTATTGAGATGACCACCAACACTTGAATAGCGAGGGGCTGCTTTTCAGCGCCTCACAATGCCCCGCGAGTAAGGGAAACTATTAAACTCCTGGGGCAGGAACGTTGGCAAACTTTCGTGGGCAGAATTTTGAGACCACAATGAGCGCGGACAACAAAAGGATTCTCTTGAGGCGTGCAGCGGGCCACATTGTGTTACAAGAAGCCCAGTCAACAGACTTTTCAGTGAAGTGTGTTAACCCCTCTGCTCTGCTATCATTAATCACTGTCCGAAGAGCGGGCGCCTCAATGCTATTTAGGGCGCTTGGCTGGGGGGATGGAGGGTGGATAGGCGGCCAGGGTAGGGGGTGG